GATCTCTTGAGGCTGTGATTCCACCATACAGACCATATAGATACACGTCTCACCCTCAGGTTCCCCTGAAGTTGTGGGGTTTTGTTTCCATGTTCTTCTGATCTCAGGGGATTTGAGCACATGGATCTGCTCAGAGGATGGGGCCAACCTTCTCTCCATGTAGATCTCATCTCACACTCTTTAAAATGGGCACACGCACCCAGGTCTGTGCCAAGGTTGTAATTTAGCAGCTGGCATCTTTAAATGCTTGCAAGTGGGATCAATCTTTTTAAGATCATTTATGTTTAATTATTCTTTTCAGCAAACTCTCTCGTGTTTTATTGCTAGCAAGCTTCTAAAGAACATTTTTAAGCTTGAACAAAAAAGCATAATGTCATCCAGCAAAAGAGAACTTAGAACGATTAATCAGGAGACTTCTCCAATGCTTGGAGCTCTTTGACATGCTTAGGGTTGGATTAAGGGAATTATTTCAAGGAAACATCAGTTTGTGTTGCTTGACCCTGCCCTGAAAGAAAAGGGGACCAGGAGGTGATGAGCTTGGCTCTGGCCAGAAGCTCAGATTGCCACATGTCTCTCTGGGTATAAGGCATGAGTTGCCTTTCTCTTGTCCTGGAAGAAGTTTATTCTACAGGATTGCTGTTGTATGTGAAGAAGGCAAACCACAGGCTTGCAGAGATTGTTGGCATCCCTTTAATTTCTCATTTAGTAATTAACATCTAATTGTTGTTGCTCAATATGGTCACCTTTTCTGAACTCTCTATTTACCTGGTAGCATTAAAGAAAAAGCATTAAAGACCCAACTGATTTCAACTGCCTGATAGAAGCCATTCCTTTCCATTTTTGAGGTTTTTCAGGTTGGAGATCTCTAGTTCCACCTCCTGCTCAAAAAAAGGTCAGCACTGAGATCAGAGCATATGTGCTATGTTAAAGAATATGTTTTTGTCACAAATGTTTTATTTCATCTTGACACAAACCTGTTCGTTTTTTCCATGCCTCCCCATGCACTGCCATATACAGGGATGGAAAGATAGAGCAGGCTCCTTGTTTACATTGTACCATCCCCATAGATTGTGCATTATGGCATTTTGTTTATGAATGACTGGATATCAATGGGCTCAGTTGCAACAGGCATGACTGTATCAGCCTCCATGCATTGAGACATGAAAAACGACGGATGCCAACCCCTCCTTCACCATTCAAAATGTGAAGGAAGATGATGCTGGTAATTGGGTGTTTGCTGTCTGAAGGAGGAAGTTTGTAATTCATTGCTGTTGCTGACATGATGCCTCTGTAAACCCCAAGCCATGATTTATCTCAGCCATTTAATATCTGTGTGAAGGGACAGAATGGCATATTCAGGATGAGCCATCATGATCTGTCGCTTCAGGAATACAGAGCATTTTATAATACTGTGTGAATGTTTTTTACTTCAAATGAAGGAAGTTAATGGCTAAATTCTGCACAGAAATTATGTTGCATGCCTGATGTGGAACACTGAAGGACAGTGCTGCATGAAAGCTAAAATTGTCTTTCTGTTTCAGCATGGTATCTGTTTTCTCTTAATCACAGGAATGAAGGAGTAGAGTTTCAGCCTTAACTGTTAATTTCCTGTCTATTGTCTATTCAAACAAGATCCTGCTGTATCTGTTATAATAAACACATTTAGAGACAGGGCTGAAACCCGGGCCTGTCCTCTACCCCTTTCCAAGGGCAGCTAAGACCTGCAATCTGGGCCACTCTTTCCACACAGTGCTCTGAAAGAAAGAGGGGAAATAGATTTAAAAAAATGAGGGCTGAAACACTGATGAAAGAGCAATGGCACTGAGCTGAAAGGCCAGGGAACAGGCTTTGGCATAATGTTAGGCATGGTTGGTGGAGATGCAGCTGGGAGAAAGATGCCCACATGCAAAGAGGTTGTGGAAGGGGGCAGTGAGCTAGCCCAGCCCTCTGCCTTTGCCTCACATTAATAGCAGCAGTTAATAGTAGAGCAAGAGAGGATTATTTAGGTCAAGTTGTTAAAATTAACCAAGAATAAATTGAGAGTGACACCTATTGTTTGTTTCTCATGAGAACTTCTGCCTTGTGGTTAGTAGATATTTTAGAAGACTTTATTTTAAAATAGCACTGGTTTTTGGTCTGTCACAGCTACCTTTCCTCTTATGAATCATGGAAAGCTTCTGGGAGGGGACCATTATTGTAAAAGAGCTAAATAAATGTACATAGCTTGATGTGATTCCCTCCCACCCCTTTTATAAGCTTACAATTCTGGAAAGAGGAGCAGTGATCTTATAGGAATCCAAAACTATGATGCTGAAGCTCTTGAATTATTCATATGATCTTATTCAATGTACTGTGATGATTTCTGATGCTTCAAACTCCTGGATTGCTTTTGATGCTGGTATTATTTCTATGTAAATTCCAGCTATTAGTTGGTTTTATCAATAAGGTTCAGATTGAATCATGCCTCTCCTGCAAATTAATGCAGACTTGACAAATGGAAGAGAAGATCTAAACTCTTCAACCAAAGGCATGGAAGTGATTTTAGAATAAAAACATATATATATACACTATCTCAAGATTTAGAAGTTGCTATCTGAAAATATTGGCATGTATGAGGACATTTAGCAGATTGGCACACACAGAAGCGTGTTAAACTGCAAGCTTTGAAAGCTTTTAAGCTGTACAGATAGAGTTCTGCCATGAACTCGGGTCTTAGAAGCACAGAATATTCCAATTTGGGATCATTGAGTCCGACTCCCAAAGAGAGCTGGCCCTAAAATGGGACTTGGCAGCTTCCAGCTGGAGGCCAGCAGATGTTAGACCAGCTATTTACTTACTGTCACTAGATCTAATCAAACCACAAAAATTGTTTTCAAATAATGTTAAAGATCAGATTTAAACTCATGAAAGCAAGAAAATCAGGAGAAGGTTGAAATTGTCTCTCTAATTCACCCCAGCATGCCTTTGGGCTGTCTTTTGCACAAGAGGCATGTGTCATTGATTAAAGGCAACCCAGCTCAGAGGCCCACAGGGAGCAGCATGGCACTGTAGGCTGAATTCCCATGTCATGCTTCAGAGATTGCTGTGTATTATTTCATTTCATAGCAGTTTTTTTTTTTTAGGAATGCTATTTTTATAATTACTCCAGGATATTTTTTTTAATTATTTCTAATTGCTATTCTCTGCAAAAGAAGTGATTGGCTTCAGTGAATGGAAGGTTTTCTGAGCAGAGAAATACCTGCAAATCTTACTCATGCCATTCATTCCCCTAAAGCCATGATGACATTTCTTTAATTACTAATGAAAACTTATTTCTGGCCCATAAGTAGGAGATGCTCTCATGGAAAGCAAAGGAAAACTAATTTTCTGTGCTATTATCCACTACACTGTTGCGTGCATCCAGGAGTCGGACTTCATGATCCTTATGGGTTCCTTCCAACTTGGGATATTATATGATTCTATGATTGAGAAGCAAAAGCCAGTATGCACCATCAGGAAGAGCAGTTTTGACCTCTCACAAGAAATAGGACATCAGGAAAATCTAGGCATGAATCTGGCCTCCTCCAGAGTACAAAGAGATGTTTGGATCCATCTTTGCTGCAAAGGTGGCTGAGCCAGAGACTCTCAGAAGCCTGCTTTTCCTTTAAAGTGTGCCACCCTATTCCATTGCCCCCGCTCTACCTCCCTGCCTTTTAACCAGATATTGAAGTCTTCCCATCAGTATAAGCTCCTTCCTTGTGCTTTACACAGTATTGTGCTGTTGAGAGGTGTTTAATCAAAAAAAATGGAGTGGTACAGGAGAAGTTGGCTGCAAGTAAGAGCATTTTCTATTTAAGCTGTTTTTTAGGGTTTTAACATAGCAAATGCTCTACAGCCTGTGGAAGATGAGGCCTTGTGCTGTCTGAGATTAATTTAGGGTTTATACCCAAATCTCAGGTGGTTGCCTGAACCAGAGATGACTGAGGAAAGGGAGTCACCATCAGCTGTGGCAGGATTTGCTCAAGAGACAAGAGTTTGATGTGTAGGCAGTGGATTAGGGTCAGGAGCAGTGGACTCAGCTGTACACATTGCAAGGGAGGAAGGGCAGAATTGGCACTGAGCAACAAGGTTAGTGATGGATCAGTGATTGGACTTGGTGATCTCAGTGGTCTTTTCCAACCTTAACGGTGCCATGATTCTATGAAAGAGAGTTTAATCCAGTTCTTCCCTTGATGTTTTCTCATAGTTAGCGTGGGAAGCTCTGTCTGCAAGGGCTCAGGCCTGTTGCCTTCAGTATCTGTTATTTGCCATCCTCTTCGAGGGAAATGACCACAGACACACCCAGCCTGCTGGACCACACTGCACTCTGGTGCTTGAGATGCGACACAGAAACTTATATTCCTTCAACGTGAACTTCCCAAACTCGTCTCGCCCCCTGCACTTTTTTTTTTTTTTCTGCTTGCCGCTGCTTGGAAATAGGTTCCTGCATTTCTTTGGTCCAGCAGTAAAAAAAATTCTTGGCTGCAAAACTGAATCTCACAATCTGGTCTGGAGGCCAACAAGCCCTGGCTGGCTTCCAGCCACAGGATCTTTCAGATGAAGGGATTTTCTATTGAGGGTGTTCTTGCTGCCTCTCCATTACTGAGAGAGATGCATTTCGAGAGTGGTTCTTGCTGATAATCACCCCAAAAGGAAAGAAAGAAAAACCTGTACTTTCCTTCAGAGGCTGCTCCGAGTCCTGCAGAAGGCTGGAGGCTGAGATCAGCGCTTGGATCCATGCCTAGAAATAACTGGCCATTGGTGTGCCTACAGTGTTTTGGGGCTCGTCTGTCCAGCCAAAAGGGCAGCTGTTGCCTGTATTTCCACAGGCCAGAGAGTAGAATGTCTAAATGGAGATTTTTTTTCTCAGTGAATTTGTAGATATGTTGAAGAGAAAATCTAACAAATCCACTCTTGCCAGCGTGGTTATTTTCATTATTTTATGGATATCTGAAATGACTTTTTTTCTTTTTTTCTTTCAGATATCACAAGGAAAAAGCTTCAAATAGGGATTAATATACTGAGCGGATGAGTAAAGAGTTGCATTTTTGGAGCATGTCAGGCAGTTGAATCTGATGATGGGCTAAACTAGGTGGGCATCAGCTTGTCGTTGTGTCAAGGTCCTTGGTGGTTTCTTCCCAGTTCCTCCAAAAGGCCTGGTCCTTCCTGCCTGCTGAAAGAAGTCTTGGTCCTCTCTCTGCATCATCAGGAGGAGAGATAACCATGTGCATTCTCAGCCTGAGACAGCAGTGTGGTCTGGCAGCCAGGAGGGTGAAGTGCATTTTTGGGTGCATCAAATACAGCATGGCCAGCAGGCCAGAAGAGGTAATTCTCGCCCCGTATTTAGTGTTGATGCAGCCTCAGCTTGAATATTGCATGATCCTGATGATCTTTAAATGTCACTTTCAAATACCTATACCATTCCATCCTATTCCTTTTCCATTCTGTTCTATTCCTGTTCCATTCCGTTCTGTTTTGTTCCACTGCATTCCATTCAATTCCCAACATGGTCAATGCCACAGGCAGAGAAGGATGAGGAAACAGCCAGAGGGTTGCTCTTTTTCAGTTTTACATCTGGATTTTGTCTTTCTAGGAATGAAACCTCAATGAGAAGCTGTTTAGCTGCTGGGATACTGCAGGCACTCCCTTGTGAAGATGCTGAATCTCTATCGCTTTCCCTAATCAAATGGTGGCAGCAGGTCCAGGAAGAGCAGGATGATGCAAACTAGTGAAGAAAAGGTTTGTTTCAGTGCTGATTTCTATGATGAGTCTTTCTGGTTTATGCTAAGCATGGGTGATGCTGTTCAAAAACACTGTTGTGCAAATAACTATGTCTGGATGTTGGATAAATGCTTGGAAGTCAAAGGCTTGTTTGGACAGATTGCCAGGTTTTATACTCTGAAATTCTGCCTTTTGGGGTTAAAGGGCCCATATGTGTCTCTAAGCAAGTACTTAACATTTCTTTGTGGCTAATCCTCAATGGCACCTTGGAAGAGATCCAGATGTGCTCCTTTTCTGTGGTGGCTTTACTGTATAATAAGTGTTAAGAGGTTCAAGGTGAAAAACTTCGTTTGTCCGCAGAGAAACTGAACCAGGGACCAAAAATGTTGAAATAGGGCTGCCACTACTTAAGGAGAGGCATCATGCTCTTTCTTTCCGTATTGGCTGCATTGTCAAGATCATTATTTTGATTTATGAAAGTAATCAGAGGAACAAAACTTTCTGTTTGAGAAAACATTGCTTACTGAATTGAGAGTCAGAAAAATTTCTTATTATTTTGGATAGAAATGAACTCCTGGGTTCTCTGAAGCTATGGTTTGATTGAACCATGGCACATGCTGCTAGAAACCCTTTGTATTTTCTCATAGTTTCCCCTCCTAACTGCTGTTTCTTCCTACTCAGCAGCCACTGTTTGTTCCACTGTATATTCAACTTTACTACTATTTGAATGATGGGTGACTGTTACAATTACTGGATAATTTCTACAGTTTAGAAAAATTGCTGCAGGACTTCCATTTCAGAAGGGAAAGGTGGGATTGATCAAGTTGAAAGCAAAGGGATTCAGGAAGATTGATGTTAATAAGCTCAAATCTGGTAAATAAGATTTCCTATGTAAGGCAAAGGGAAATGTAAAATAAAGTTGTCAGTTCCTTGGAGTAAGCTAAGGGCACAATACAAGCTCTGCAAGTGCAAGAATAAAAATTCAGTAGGTGCCAAGCTGGGTAAATTATGATTTTATTTTTTTGTAGCTTGAGCATCAGGGTAACACACAAGAAAAAAAGAAGGGGTCAAATTTTAAAGAATAAATTTGGAAGAGCAGCACAAGTGTTCGGGGATAAAACCAGAAAGACTGAGGCACAAAATGAGACCTCAGAGATAAGCAGAAATAATTCTGTAAGAACTGCTAGTAGAATGAGAAAGATCAAAGAGGAGTTTGGCCTGCTACTCAATGGAGAATGAAATCTGTCTGCAATAATTACAGTAAGCACAAAAAGTATTGGGGAAGGAGAAATACATATGTATTTTTCCCAGTGTATCTTGGGAATTATAGTCCAGGCTGGTTAACAACAGTTTTGAGGGCAAAAAAAATCAAAACAAAGGTTCTGGGCAGACGTGAGAGCGACCTTTCAGTATCTGAAGGGGAGCTATAAGAAAGAAGGGGACAAGCTCTTTATCAGGGTCTGTTGTGATAGTACAGGGGGAAGTGGTTTCACACTAAAAGAAGGGAGATTTGGATTGGATATAAGGAAGAAGTTTTTTTACAATAAGGTTGGTGAGGCACTGGCTCAGGTTTCCCAGAGAGGTGGTGGATGCCCCATCCCTGGGGACATCCAAGGTGAGGCTGGATGGGGCTCTGAGCAACCTGATCAAGCCGTAGGTGAGTTGGATTAGATGACCTTTAAAGGTTCCTTTCAACTCTAAGGATTCTATGATTCTATGAAGTACCGTACAGGATTCCCGTGTTGTCGATCCTGAAATCTGTTCTGTGTGGTGTTTCATTGATGACATAGGACATTCAGATGGAAGTCTGTATGGTAACTTTGCGCAGATCTAGAGCCAAGAAGCACTGAAAGCATGTTGGAAAGAGGAGTTTAATTTGTATGATGAATTGAAGAGATGTCTAAAAAATGAGGCTAAATTCATCAAGGAAAAAGCTCAAAGTACTGTTAGGCAGAAACACTTCACTGTGTAAATAGGCTGGGGAAAAAAAAAGACTAGACAGTAGTTCTCCAGTGGAATATCTTTGTGTTAAAAGGTTGAAAAATTAACTGTGATTAGGCAGTGGTGTGCTGTTGTGAGAAAGTCAAACATTCCACTGTCAGGTTCCAACAGGAATGTGCTCTGCTCAGCATGGGAATATGATGTCCAGGTTTGATCAATGAGTTTTGAAGAGAGTTGTGGATGGTCGGGGCAGAATTCATTGTTCTCTTTTAATAACAGTTGTGGACTTTTTTTTTTTTTTAAACCTATGAGCAAAAGTGGAAGGATATTTGATTATATAGTGGTGGAAAAGAAACAGTGAAGCAAGGCTTTCCAGTACATAAAAAGTCATTTCAAAGAGTATTTGTGGTGGCTAGAAGAAACAATGATGTGCTTGAATTAATGTAAGGGAAATTTAAACCAGGTGTTAGGAAACCTCTTGGAAGGGTAAGGACAATAAAGCACTGGAATGGATTCATTGGAGAGGTTGTGAAGTTCCCATGACTGAAGGATCTTTAGGAATACATTGGACAAGTATCTCTCAGAAATGACATAAGCCCATACTGCCTTCGAGTACAGGTGTCTTTCATTCCTGGCAGGGTTACTGTTCAATGGCTCTGTGCAAATCTGGAGATGTAAGTGATTTACTGGGAGAAATTCTCCTGGCCAAGCCATTATCTGCTTCCTGAAAGGGGAGTGTTTAGCATAATTCAGTTGGTTTATTGCTTCTCACTTACGTTCAATTAAATACTGGAGATGAGTGGGGGGAGGGCACTTGTCAGACCCAGCTCCAGGAGGGTTTGGCTCCAGCTGATCAAGAATGCCATGATTTGGATGTACATTTTCAGTTAAGGCAACATGATGCTGTTAATCACTCTACCTCTCCCGCTTGCTACCCTCTTCTCTAAATATGTTGTCTTTCTTGGAGACAGCCTGGGGAGCTGTAAATCTCCGAAGAAATTCTCCATATGCTGATGATTTTCAGGGAACTCTGCCATACATAATTTCTGATAGGAATGTTTGAATAGAGAATTAATTTACTTTGGGTCCTTGATTATTCTGTCTTCCAGTAAGAAGAGTATTGGCATCAGGCTGAAAGTTAAACAAGACACCAGTTTCCCTTTTCTTTCCCTCTGATCTTCACATTCACAATAGGACTGTTTGAGTCAGAAAGCAATGCAGATGGGATGTACCAAAAAATTTGTATTGAGCTGCTGAAGTAATCTCTTTATTCCAGGAGCTTCTAATGAGTAATGAGGCCATGTTTCATATAACTCCAGTTAACATGGCAACATATGAGTATGCATTCGTCTACAAGCAGAGAAGCTTTAATAACACAGAAGCAAATTGCCTCATGCATTTTTCTCTGTGAAACGGCAGCCTTCTCTTAGGAGACATAAAAGGCAAGAGTCCCGTGAATTGCTGAAAGCCATCATAAAGCAGGAGAGGACCAATTAATCAAAATCATGGCACTTGAAAATATTTAGATCCATGGCGTTTTGGTCCAAAGCATATCATCAGATCATGAAAAATCACAGCTCTGGCCATCGACCCTCACCCAGTGCATCTTTTCTCCACTGCTGTTTGATTTCAGAGCAGTGTTTGTCTTCACTAGGGTGAAGAAGGAGGCAGAATTCACCACATGACTGGGAAACTTGTTCCAGCTGTTAGAGGACACGTGTTTATAATGATGATGATTAGTTTGATTTGACTTGTCCTCAGATTTTGAGCACTGAATCTTGCTATGTTGCATTTTCCCGTGCATGTTTACAGACTGTACCAATGCTGGAGCAACATAGGCTGCTATAGCAAATGATGAGCTTAAATTCTGTGTGTTTGCTTTTGCAAAAAGGCTTAATTAAGGCAATGGAGCACCATCTGAGAACACAGCTTAACTGGTGTTGGCCTTGAATGATACAACAATCTGCTTACAGACACAGTTCCTTCCTGCATGGCAGTGCTTCGTTGGTGTAGTAATTTGCTGTGGGAATTGGGAAGCTCTCTAGATAGCAGATTTGTACCCCCAGGAATAAAAATCCCAACATCTGTAGATGGTCCCTCTTTTAATATCCTTATTCTGTTCTATCTTTAGTAAATGTTTCTTTCTTCTCTCTTCTCTCTCTCTCTCCTTCTCTCCTTTTCTCTTTCTCCTTCCTTCTTTCCTCCTCCCCATCCAACCACCCTCCACTATTTCCTCTCCTCTCCTCTCCTCTCCTCTCCTCTCAAGTTTAAACACCTCTCCTCTCCTCTCCTCTCCTCTCCTCTCAAGTTTAAACATTAAGCAGTTTATTCAAAGTCAGAGGATAAATAATATGGCAAACTATATTCAGCAAGTATGGCAGCGCCTTTAAAGACAAACCAACCCATGGGTTGCTGTCAAAGGCAGTACAGAATTGGTAAGTGCACTAACAGAGATCACAGTGACCTCTTAGCTCTGTTAGAAGATATTTAGATAAAATTTAAAGGGGCCGCAGTATTTAACTCTTCATTAAATGTATAAAACATGTGACCTGTCTTTGCCCATCTGGAGACTGCAGTGTTAATGAGTTAACTGCATGAACATAGTCTCTATAGAGTCACACGGATAATTTGGAGCAGTGTCATTTCAAACTAAGGATAAATACAGCTTTGTATAAAATGAGTTCTTGTTCCAGCAATAATTGCTGGGGTGCTGTACAAGATGGTCCTGAATCTCCCAATCAGTCTTATTCCCAGAGCAGTAAGTGATACAGATTTCCATAAAGGGGAAATGCATCTACTAGTAGAGTCAATCATTTTGTAGAGATGTTGGCACAAGGAATCAAATTACTCTAGTAGATAAAGATTTTTTTTTTAAATAATAAACAGTTAGTGGGAAAAGAATATGTACACAGTTTATATTGCACTCCCATACTTTAGAGTACCAGTAAAAAATGTTTCTTAACATGAGTAAAATAGTCTGGTTATTTTTATGCTGTAGTCAATGATGACATTTCAGAAGAAATCTTTTCTTCTTATTGAAATTATCTATATATTATTGTGGTTTCTGTTCTCCGTGC